TGTCTCTTTCATGGAAATAGTCAACACAACACAACTTAAAAGACAACAGTGTAGAACTTGTGTAGCATTTTGGAATAATATTGTAGGCAGTAGGTCCCTTGATAAGCGTAGAGAATTATTGTAATTTCTTGTATAAAATGTTGAGTGGGTCGGTTTACGACCAAGAAGCTTTATTTATGAAAGATAATGTTCCATCACATTCAGCAAAGCTGACTATTTTCCATCTCCCCCATCCCACCTCCCAAAAAGTTTCAAAGACACCATGTTAATGGAATGACCCATAGCTTCTCTAAGTATTAAACTCATCGTCCATCATTAAGAGATGTATAGGAGAAAACAATATTTAAGCAAATATCTCTAGGAAGCAATAAAACTGCTCCAAATAATGTTAGATTTTATGTCAGTATTTTTTAGATGTGGAATTATCATTATTACACATATAATTATTATTTTCCATTAAGACTAGTCAACTTCTCTTGGTTGTTATAGTTAATATTTCAGGCTTCATACAGTCGCTTTCTCACAGACACGCCGTCGCCTCTCTCTGTCTTTTTACAAATACTTTCATGGTAGTTGCTCTGAGGAGCTGCATTCGCTGGTTCCCAGACTTCATGAATTCAAGCGCCCTACGAGCTTGGCATCCCACTCTCACTCTTTCACTGTCGAAACTACTAAATGTAGCCGTCTCTTCTACTCCAATAGCTTCATATCTCACACCTCTCGCCTGTGGAACTTCCTTCCCTATTCCAGTTTCCCTGAGAGCTATAATCTCTATTCAAAAGTAATGTCAATCGACATCTCCAGTTGCCTTGATCTATCCACTATCCTTCTCCTCATCCTTTTTTCTATCACTCCTATCTGATCTTGCTCCAAATCTTCTGTAACCCCTTGCGTCCTAGTGGCTTCCTGCCTTGCTTGGGGTGAAGCGCTTAAAAAAAAAATATGTTGGGTTAATTTGCAGTTTAGCACCCATGCTCAGTTTGCATTAAAAATTTTCAGAATACTTACATTTATGTGTAATTGTACATGCTCCATTCAAATCTGGCTTGATAAATTTGATAAAATCTACCATTTTAGAATTATTGACAGTGAAAGTTTGAATTCATTCACATCACTGGTAGCAGCCATTACTGTCGTTCTTTGCATACATTCACTGTGGAAAGCAAAACGCAGAAGACTACAGAAAGTCAAGCAAGGAACTAATCTTCCTTGTCTAAATTTGTCTCGATTACTGTGCATGAGAACTATTTACGTACACATACTCAGTTTGCCCAATGATACCTACAGATAGCTATTCTGCAGTGAATGAATGCAAACAATGCCAGTAATGACTGCCCGCAACACAAAGGAATCTGAACTTTCACTGTCAATAATTCCAAAATACTAGATTTTATCAAATTTATCAAGCCAGATTTGAATGGAACATTTACAATTACACATAAATGTAAGTATTTTGGAAATTTTTAATGTGAACTGAGTTTGGATGTTACACTGCCAATTAACCGTATGTGGTACTTGGTATTCTTCTTGGAATTTTGAATGGAACCGGGAATAAACTGGAGAAATGACTGATATGACATACGCACTAAGTTTGGAAAGTGGAATGAGAGCAATCTATCTCTATAGATTGAATAAAGGGTTAGTTTCAAAATTCATGAAGTTTAACAAATATGACAACATACACCTGACCAAAATGTTTTGAGTATAACAAAATGAGTCAACTAGTCTTAATGGAAAATCAGATAATAGCAAACGAAATCATATCAATAAATAGACTGATGAATGTTGTAGAATGTCAAAGAGCTTATATGTAAAATAATAAAATAATGATTTATTCACATACATGGGTTACTGTATTAATTAAATATTTATTTTTCTCTGGTCATTATTTTTTGTATTTATTTATAAATAAAACTTATTATTGCACTTTATTTGTCAGCTTTGGTAAACATTAACTTGCATCATAAAATCTTACATTGACAAGCAAACTAGAAATTACCAGACTAAGGCAGATACTGATAGATTTTGTTTTTCTTTAGGCAAATGAAGGTGAAAACAAAAACATAAGCTAATTACTCATTTAGATTGTAGTTTGAATTGAAAATGTATCTTTTAAATCAGCATTTGTATATCAATATCTTTTCACGATGAAGAGAGTATCTGTTTTATGATATAAAAATATTCTGTCAGAAAGAGAAACTATCAAATATCAGAATTCTTTACTTTCTACAAATTCTTCTTTTTTAATCAGTATCACCTCATGCAAGACAGTAAAACTACTAAGATATGAGTGTTACAGGGTGTGAAAGAATTAGGAACAAAAACATTAATAATAAGTGGGAAGAGGAAAGAGTAATAACGAGGAGCAGTAGATAGCGATTGACATTGCATTTAAAGTTTTGTAGATTAAAGTTGGCTGGAAAGCATGAAGGGAGTTCGACAAGCGAGAACTGCGAGAAAAGAAACTGTTAGCATAGAATTTACAGTTACCTCTAGCCAGCTTAACTGTAAATTGATGAGATCTTGACACCAGTCTAGTACTGTACTTAAATTCAAAAACTCTAGTTACCATAGTGAAGAGCTCATATGAACAATTACCATGAAAATATTCATAGAAAAGACAGAGAGGCAACCTTAGGGTGGTGGGAAAGTGACTGAAGCCAAGCTGCCAGATTAGGACCAATAATATTGCAGATTCTTCTTTGGATCTTATTAAAGAACTAAAGGTAAATAGCAGGGGCATCGAACCATATGTGGCAGCAATATTCTAAGCATAGATGAATGGCAGACTTATAGATATGTCTGGAGAGAAAAATTGTCTTGCACGACAGAGTGAACTGACTTTCTTAGCAGCTGACCTGGCAATGGATTCAATATAGTCTTTCCACTTCATGTCAACTAAGAACGTTAGCCTGAGAAGATGCAACAAGTCACTTTCCCGGAGGTTAGCATCAACTAAATAAGTAAAATGTAGATTTTCTACTTCATTTCTGAAATATATTTGCCAGTCCCTGAAATAAGGAATCATCATAATTTAAGAAGTTAATTCATGTTTTTTACACATTTACCAAATATTGTTTTAATAAGGAATTTCTAATTTCAGTATAAATGAACAAAATAACATCTTTTTAGTTGTGTACAGTCAATAAATAGTATATCACTGAGTTATTTTCCTTATAACTTCATATGTTTCAACACTAACAAGTACATACTGTTTTCTTTTTCATTTTGTTTTTTAACTTGGGTAAGAGAAAATATACTAAAGGAAAAAACTGGCAGAAATAATATTTAATTTTAATCTAATTAAATTTTAATTTCAGGATATTTGTCATTTTAAGTAATATAGAATATTTTTTTATTGAAATCTTTAAATTATGTGCTTAACAAAATAACTACTTATAGTTAAAATCTAATCAACTTACTGTCGATAATAAAAATTTCATTAATTTAGAATGTTTATAGAATTCACAATTATATATAAGTTAGTTGCATAGAGACAGGTTTAGGTCAAAGAACAATATATAACTTCTTGCAAAACTCTCTGAATATATATTGGTATTATCCTGTACAAATTTTCATGAAACTATATAAATTCTTGTTTAGATTAAAGGGAAAATGAAAGTTTATTTGGAAAATTAATTATTTAAGAAAAAAAGAACATTAATAATACAGTAGAATCCCTCATATCAGGAATGTCTCATATCTGGAATCTTGCATTTTTCCCAGACATAATTCTGATGTGTATATTTGAACTATTTCGGTAATATATAACTGATTTGAAATTTCTGTTTTTCAGGAAATTTACTTTGGATAATTGCTTATGCTTATTTCACCCTAATGGCTTGTATTGGTGCAAAAAATGATGTCAATAAGAGGAAAAGAACAACTTTGGAGTTATTGCAAAAAGTGGAAATTTTAAACAGACTAGACTCTGGTGAAAGTTCATTGTAACTAATGGATGAGTTCAACATAGGAAAGTCAACATTGTATGATATAAAATCTTCCAAAGAAACTATTACAATGAACAAGGAAATAAAAAACATTATTGTGATGAAACCTGGACTGAAATTGAAAAAGCTATTGAAAAGGTTGTCAGTTTTATGGAAAGAAAGCCAGCATTCAGCTAGGATGATTTAAAAAAATTCAAAACCAAAAGAAAAACAAAATGCAGAAAAAGTTGAGAATGATATTAGAAGAGAAAGAATCATCATACAACAGTGATTAAAAAATCCTCGCTACATTATTTGTTTTGCATACGTGGCATACTTAATTTAATGAATTTTCATTAACATTACATAATTTATTTTTTTTCCTTCAAATCATTATATTTCACTCACCATTAACTTATTTTGTTTACTATAAATCACTGAAAATAAATGTTAAACCTGATTTCAGTTTTTTTTTTATTTTAATCTAAATATAACCCCTCATATCTGAACTTTGTAACAAATTCCTCATATCTGGAAGGCTTTCTTAATCTGGTTGTCAAGGATTCTACTATAATACTATGTGTCTGTTGACAAGATATTTTCAAAATATTTAAATGCCAAATCGATGTTTAATTGCACATTGTGTGAAAATGATATTTTAATAATGCTTGAGAATTTAAGAAAATGAAAAAGTCAAATGTTCTGCTTAGTGATTCTTACTCTCTGCTTATAAATTTGAGTCTGGATTTGTTGCTTTCATTCTGACAGTTTTAGGAAATCAAATTTAATAGAAATTCTTGCTCAGGGTTGAAAAATGACCAAGGAAAATAGAACAGAATCATTCTAGTAGTAGTAGTAGTAGTAGTAGCAATAATAATAATAATAAGAAGAAGAAGAAGAATAATATAAGCAATGATAATGATAACAATAAGTGTGGAAATGGTATAAAGAATTTGATCACATCATCAACAACAGGAAATCAAAGGATTCAGTTTTTTTGTTAATTTTGATTTTTCTTTTGTTTCTTGAGACTTTTGGGTTTTGGCAATGAAGGATTTTTGCATTGTTCACGTAGAATCTCGAGATGGCTCCTCCAGTTTTATGTGCGCTTTCTGCAGTTGGGCTGATATTTCCATTAGTCTCTTGGCAACCTGTCTGTTGTGCTTTCTTTTGATTGGTCCCTTTTTGTTGGAATTTACCTCTGCTGGTGGCTCTTCATCTGGCTCATTAGCAATTTGCCTGGAATTAAAAATAAAATTTCTTTAATTATACTTCCTATTAAATTTCAGTCAGTTACGTGCCGTGCATGATACACACTTAGGCGATCATGTATCTTTCGATATATGACTGACAAGACAGTTTTTTTTTCCCTGCAGTAGATTGCCATTTCTTTCTGTGGTAGACCAGTTGCTATCCAAAGCTATAGAATCCAGTCTTTCCTGCTATTTACCCATAGCTGGGGGGGGAGAAGAAGAGGATTCATACCATATCCAAGGATATTAGCATGTAAGTGAATGTAATGGATTCGACAGGATTTCGAACTCAGCTCTCTGATTCCTCAATCCGTGTTGCTATCCATTACTCCACTGTGCCTCTATTAAATTTAGCTTTCCTTAAAATTTCAATTTTAGCTTGCATACCTTTTTGTATTTCTATTTCTATTTATTGTCCAAACTTCTTATTTGGAACTTTTTTTATGGCATTCACAGTAAAAAAAAAAGACAAAAAATTTAAATAACAGCAAAATATGACAAACATTTACAGAAAATAAAAACATTATTTTTCAGTATTTGCATTTAAGTTTCTTTGTGCCTTTTTTATTGATATCTTGTACACTGACAGAAGAACTGCAAATGCTGTCAGCACTTTTAAATGCAATAAGTATACAAGTCTTAAATTTACTAACTATAAAACTGAATTTAAACTAAGTAAATCAATGAAGTACAATTAATAAAAACAAGTATTTTAGACACACATGAATAATAATTATAAATGAGTATATTTTAGAGAAAACATCAGAAACAATAATGAATTATCATTATTATGATAGACTGATCAATTTGAATTACCATATAAACTTGTGTAATGTGTGATATTTATTTTAAATGCAGCTGTACTTTTTGTAAATGAATATGTAGTTTGGTCAATAGTGTAGCCAGGGCCAGCAGTACATACACTAATTTTATATCTCATGTATGATGTGACCTCCTTAAAATTAGCTTCAAAATTAGGTCTTCAATAGTTACATAATACACAAGTATATATGGTATATATAACAAACCAACATGAGCACCTCAAAGCGGTATAATGGTTAACAAGCTTGTCTCACTAGAACAATTACGACTGAATAGTGAGTTTGATCCTCACTGGGTGCCTTCTACTTTCGACCTTGTGCCACAACTAAGTTACGCTTGGAAAGTCAGTAATATGTTTCACCATATATGATCTAGCGATTTGGGCAGCTCAGGGCTGTGTAATGGTTAGCAAGTTTATCTCGCTAGAATAATTACAACTGAGTAGTGAGTTCGATCCTCACTGGGTGCCCCATAGTTTCGGCCTTGTGCCACATCTAAGCTACACTTAGAAAATCCTTATAACAAACCAACAACCTATGAGAATATTTTTTTGGAAGTTACTTAAACCCTGTCTATATTATAGAAATGGATAGCATATACAGTGGCTAAGAAATTGGGTGTGTGTTTAATACTAAAGAACAATATAAAACTGATCCCTCACTTTTTATCATCATTTCATTTGATTATCTGTAAAGATGTTTTGGAATTTCATCTATGAATTTACTATGGCCAAGAAATGGGGGTATGTTTAATACTAAAGAACAATACAAAACTGATCCCCCACTTTTTACCATCGCTTCCTTTGATTATAAGGATTTTTTTAGTTACTGTATATACTTGTGTATCATGTGACTTTTGAAAATCTAATTTTGAAGCTAATTTGATTACAGTAAATGGATATATAGTGTGGGCAACAGTGTGGCCAGGGCCAGCAATACATACGTTAATTTTATATCCCATGTATGATGCGACGCCCTTAAAATTATCTTCAAGATTAGATCTTCAAAAGTCATACACAAGTATATACAGTACTCAGGTTTATGAAAGAAAATTGAGGCCAACATAAAAATAGGTGATCTAACCTAATTTGGAGGTACTGATTTCAGATACAACATCCATTTTCATTAATCACTGCTAATTTTTTAGATATACATGTATACATATACATATATGTATACATATAGGTGTAAATCCAAAAGATTTAAATGTTTCAGTAATAAACTACATAAATAGGTATTTAAGACCAATTTATGAATGCTGAATTCAAATGAATATTTTGATAGGCTGATGACATACCAAAATGTCCTTTTTAAGAAATTAAAATGTCCTATTTTTATCAGTTCTATAATGCCTATATCTATATACAACCTTATATTATTTACATTATTCGAACTGTTATCCTCATCTTCATTGCTATATTTACAACATTTTGGCCACTGGTGATTGGAATTTTGAACTGAACCTTTTATTTTACACCCACCAGGGTAGATTGTTCTAGTTCCACATGACATGCCTCTTCTGGATGTTTCAGTTATTTCCTTTTAACTCAACTCTCCAAGTTTTTGGTTCACCACTGCTGTGGCCTGGTATTAAACTCACAGCTCTCTGAGTCTAGTCACTGGATCTAACCAACATCTTTATCCAGTGGGCTAGAGATATAGACAGCTATGCACAACCATTTTATATGACTTTCTGACAATTCATGTAACTATATATATAATCAATGTTTATTTTATATTTAAGGTTTTTGTGAGCTGCTATATATTTCTACAATGGCGCTTATAGACAAGCGTATGGTTGCAAGAAAGAAATACGACAACAGTAGAAATAGATTTACGTGGTTTATTTCAACAGGAATGTGAGTGTTTGGGACAGCTACCTTGTGGTAAAGTTCATAAGCCGGCTTTCGGATCTAGGTCGATCTCTCATAGTAGTTCACACATGTTGACGGTGGTTGGTGCTCTCCTGCTGACAGCTGCTGAACGCTCGGCCTGACCGTAACAGGTCTCCCTTGTGGCCACCTGTTGACTGCCTGTTGAACTTCCATGTGACCCCTTTTATAGCGTTTTTTTATGACTTAATAGGCTCAAAAAACAAAGCGAGTATAATTAGGAGGGAAGCATTTTTATTGGATGAAAAATAGATCACTTTAAATATTTTATTTTTCGACCAGAACACGTGTGTCGGGAACATTTGTAAAGAAAGATAATGGTCATTTTGTGACAGGGCTTTGTCCCGTTCACATCCAGTTCTCGCTCTTGAGTATTTGCTTGTAAATCAGCCAAGATATGTCTTATTTTATTTTATAACAGCGTCAGGTGCTTCAATGCCCTGAACATGCATCAACAAGGCTGATTCATTCCATTATATATATGTGGATTTCACGGCAGTTGCACAGTGCTGAACAATTACTCTTCTCTTGCTTTTTGACTGTAAAACTAGAGGTCAGGACAAACCCTGGGCCCAACACATGTTGTAAACTCTGTTACAATGGATTAACTGCATGGTTTAATGGCAAGAAATCAATTTTTGACTTTGCTGTCCCAATGATTTGGAAAGATTGTTATTTTTTGGTTATAATGTTTCTTCACCCCCACCAACATACACAAAAAAATCAAATATTCCATTAAACACCTATTCCACACTCAGATGTTCCTAGTCTCCCAGCAAATAAGGATTATCTTCATTTATCAGATAAGGAAATTCTCTCAGAAGAGGATCCTGCTAAGTTGGCCACTTCTGATAGAAAAGTTTCATTTTATTCAGTAGCATGTGGCAGTGAGTTCAACTGGATCGCCTGGGAAGACCTGAATGACTTTGTCACTGATTTGCACCTATCTAAACAGCATTGGCATCTTGGCTGAAGTAGTGTAACCTAGTCAAAGCAGATGTAAGGATCAGCGTTTTCAGGACATGAAACAAAGACTTGGAAAACAGGTTGTGTTACAGCAAAAAATGTCTCTGATTTGTTGACCTTCCTTTGATTCCCACACAACCATTCAAACTGCTGACTCTTCTCTGCAAAGCCTGAAGGCCATTCTAATGTGCAATGTGAATAAATTCCCCCTGCATTCCCTTTACCCACTCAGTTCATCTGATGGAATTGTATGACAATATGGAGCTCCTTTTGGAAGCTGTACAAGCAGTTCCAGTGGAGTCTCTGCGAGGGATATCAGGACCATTGGGTTCCTTATGAGTATGCAAGTGAGCTTCACAAAGTACTGCTGCTTTCTCTGTCCTAGCACTACAAGTAGAAGGACTAGAGCAGAGGTGGGCAAATTATTGCCCATGGACCACATTTTAATGTGGCCCTCTATTGCTTTTATAATATTTACAAATGTGAGCAAACTTTTTCAAGTATGAAAATTATCAAAAGCAAAAATAGATCTCTTTTGATAAATTCAAATCTTCAGTCAGTATTAAGAATTAGCACAAGCAGCTTGGAGCCAGATATAAACAAACTAGTCAACAACTGCAGTAGACTTACATCAATCTCATTGACTATACACCTGTTATTGTTCTTACAATATATTTTTCTTGCATTTTGTCAATTATTTATGCTATAATACACTTTTTACATTATAGTGAATTGTAATTAATCTTTACAACTAGCAAGATGTTTTTAATAATTAACTGATCATGAAAATTTCATGCTGTTACATTTTTCAATATATGGTCTTCAAAAGCCCAGTAGCCATGTTCATAGTAACAATGTGGCCCACTAAGAAAAGTAATTGCCCACCCCTGGACTAGAGAATCTAAGAGAACTTCCATACCTAGGGTACACAGTGTTCAAGAAAATCCTCTGGTGGACATGATCAAAGTGCTTCTCCCCACTCTTCAGATCAAGCTTGGTCTAATGAACAATTTTATATTGTAATGTATGGCAAGAGTGTGTTGAAGTTGGGAGAAACACCCAACCAATTACTCTCCTAGCAACTATGGGGGTAATAGACAGAGAGGGGAAAGAGATGGAAGATAAAAAAAAAATAACACTGCCTTGGAAACCACAGTAAATTTAGGAACAAAAATGCCCATGGGACCCTGTGTCTTGCCCACTGCTGAGTGCTGCTTTTCCCCCCTGATTTTATTGGCATGAGACATCTTACAAAGACCAGGATGTTGACCAGTTACAGAGAGGCCTGTAGCTAGACATGTCAAGCTGTCCTGCTGCTAACTTGAAAAACCCGGATGTGTTGACAAACATGTCCACATGTAATCTGGAGCCTTTTTTGTGTCTGTACTGACACTCATTCAACACATTTCATAAAAGCCATGGACAAAAATGGCACAACCTTCCAACACCTGTACACTCTGTTCCAAGCCCTCACTTTTGCTGAGATCAAAGAGTGCATCTTTACCTGCTCTCAGATCCGAGAGGTGCTGAAGGATAAGAAATTTGAAAAGATTCTTACCCTTATAGGAAGCATATAAGTCAATCTGCCATGGATTCCTTGGTGACATATGGGCACTAGATTACCAAGAGTGTGTCAAGAAATTGTTACAGGCTTATGAGGATATGGGGTGCCAAATGTCACTCAAGATTCACGTTCTCCACTCAGAGAGCATGGAGAAAGGATTCACCAAGATATTATGAAGATGGTGAACAACTATCAAGACAAGTGATGGGAAACTTCTATTGGATGCTCTTGCATAACATCCTCCAGGCAAAGTTAACAAAATCAACCAAAAAACTCACTTCTGTTTGCTGCACTATGATGTGTATATACATTGTATTATACAAATAATTATAGTATTTAGTTTTTATTATAGTATTTATTATAGTATTTAGTTCTGTCAGTATCTATGTCATGTTTATTTCTGTAATATGCCTTTTATAATATTGTACAAAATAAACATTGTATTATGAATGTATGCATTATAGAAAAACAGTATACATGAAAACCAACAAAAAGAAAACTAGACATGATAAAACAAAACTGGAAATTTGAATTCACCAGATCAAAATTAGTAAAAAAGAAACAAAACAACTATTCAATTTTATATTCTAATCTTGGTTGTAATAGTCACAATGTTTGTTACATGTTGTATCCCCAGCCTTTTAGATGTACTGTCATATTCAATAATGGAGGTACACTGTTCACATGCCATTCTTTATGCTAGGGGAGATAACTCATATTAGATAATTTGTTATTTAATCTTTGTGATGCAGTTCTACTGAACCAGAGTATAAGGTCATTCCTGAGAAACTGAAACTTCACCAACTTATGTAAAAAACATAAATCTGAATGTGTCAAATTCGGCTGAGTCAAGTAAATTTATGAAAAATAATAATTCCAAAGATATAGCTTTATGCTTAGCATTAGCACTTACACTGGGACTTTTCTTAGGAGTCATAGGTAACAATGTATTCTAAATCATAATTGAAATGTAATTCAAAGAATGTCAATGGCAGAGCACAGATGTAAATCAGTCTGAATTCAAAATCAGTGGAAAAAACACACAAGTGCTGCCTGTTGGCAGGAATTTGAAACATGAACATATGCTGAACATACTTTATTATACTAATTGTTTTGTTTTTGATGATTCTATGAAATATATATATATATATATATATATATATATATATATATATATATAGTATACATAATATTATTTTTAAATTTATTTGAATATAATTTAATGTGTTTATTGTTATTTTAGTGTTTTGATGTTTCTAATATTTTTAACGGCCAATATAAACTCAAGTAAAATGACCTAAGACAAGTTTTATTCACCTATGCAAAAAAAAAAGTTACCATACTGTGGGTATGGTAATGTTTATAGTGGAGTTTTGTGATGTCAACAAACACTCATTGCCACTTTTGTGATGCCAACAAATACTCGTCACTTTCATAATGCTCATTGTCATAGAGATTTTATAATCACCGATACAACTATAGTACACCGTTGAACAATACTGGTGTCAGATGCCTTTGAATAATACTTGCACTAATAATACTTACTCAATAATATTCATTCAAATAGTAATCTGTATAGTGACCAGTATAGAGAAATAGTATAATGAATAGAGTAGAAATAGCGATCTAAATAGTAATAGAGGATAGACTAGAAATGCAGATGATTTAGATTTCACACAACTTCCTACTCATGCATTTCCTGTATGGTCATGTGATCTACTTAATTCAATAATGGGATCACCTGTGTTTGCTCACTGGTGATCTATGTTCAAACTCAAGTGTCAGCAGTGACACTTTATTCCTATATAACATGGAGTTAGGTCAATTTCTTTCCATCAGTCATTCCAATATACTTACTCAAGATAGCTGTGTCTCAGATTAAACTGGCTGCAGACTGTTTGTGCCTCCATATCACAGTCAATAGGATCCATCCATTCTTTCAAGGTCACCTTATTATGAGTTGGGCTACATCCAACAGCTGTAATTAAACAAATATTTACAAGTAAAAAGTAATCTTTACATATGCCAAGAATAATTAAATTCTTTTCCAAGTTCTACTTTTTTTTGTTTCTTTTTTCTTATCAAAATATTTTGGCTGATCCAATCTACAGACTAATTCCAGTGTACATTTATTATGAAGAGAGAGGGAAAAGAATTATCAAGAAAAAGAAATAGTGGCAAATATACTAATTGGACCAACCTATTTCACCCTAACCTATTCAACATGGGTGATCGGGTAATAATAAGGACCATCAAAAATGAATGAGTTCATTCATTTGAATGATAATGACTCGTCTTGAAATTACTGAAAGTATCTTAAACAAAGAGGAATGATGTTTATAGTTCAAACAATTTTTGTAATGACTAATAAGGTCAAAATATGATTGATGTTTCTACAGAAACACACCACTCAAAAAAAAATTGTAGTCAATTTCTTCTTGCTTAGAATAAAGTTCCCTAATTTGTTTTTTTTACCAAACAGTGTAGCGTATGTCAACCAATCCAACACGTGTCTCCTGTTCACTACCACAGTCACACTGCTCTGTCGACTTGTTAAGCACTTTTTATAGACTGTGACAGGTCAAATTTGCATAGATGCAAGTCTTGTGAAAGTATCCAACTCTGAGATCTATCTTTTCTTAAATATATAACTTGTAAAGCCACCATTTACTTTTTAGGATACTTTACATACCTACTACATAGATAATTCATATACAATCTTTTTCTTTTCTTTGTATCATATAGATCTTATCAATGAAAAGAAGAAAAATTTATTTTCATTTATATTTCTTTTTCATCTATACCTTTCTCTCATCTTTTATATAAATTTATGGAAAATCAATGACAAAATGGAAAAATTTTTCATGTAAATCATTTCGTCCTTTAAGACTTCATCAGTTTTCTGGTATATAAAAATTTCATCAGTTTTCTGATATAGAAAAATTTCATAGGACTTCTGGTATAGAAAAATTATATATCATTTTCTCCCATATAAACTTATATTTTGAAAAATCACCTTTGCAATTTTTATTTGTTTTCTGTCTATTAATTTTGTTTTCTTCATTAAAATGCTGTTTGTAGATATAAAATATGAACATTGAGTATGACGTCAAAGATGATCTGAAACAAAACATACCATCTGTGTCAATTCTGTGGCAACAGCTCCATCGACTTCTGCGGTAGATACCTGGATGATAAGTTTTCAGTTGATGTTTGTTGGCTGTAAATGTCTTTCTGATGGCAGATAACCATGAGTAGAGGTCATTTACATCCTGGAAAGGAAGTTGAAAAAGTGTCACAATTTTCAAAAGGTTTTCTTAACCAGATTCAAACATGGATTAAGGGTGTTACAATCCAATATGACAATATGGCCAAAGTACTAATCAAGTGTCACTTGTTAAATAAAAGTGACATATAAGAAGAGAGTGTAATGGAAATTTGATTGGTTTTCATTTTTCTATAACTCAAGAAAATATAAAACAAATGAAATGGTTGATGAAATTTTAGTCACATTACCATTTTAATTTTTAGTTCAGTAACCATCAAACTGAATTAGTGAGATCATTTATAGTACAGTGGATGACATTACTGGAAAGACAAAGTTAATGTTAAAGTGTTTGCATGGGCTTCTATCAAAAACAGCATTACAATAGCTATTCAATAATGCATGTTTGTTTCAACTGCAAATGAAAAACTGTCCTCTCCCTAAAATGAAATTAATAGAAGTGGTCCAAAATATATTGAATATATAAAAATTTCATGGGTCAGAAATTTGATTTTGTCATTTTTGTTTGCAGTCATAGATATATTCAGTCAGTTCTGTGCCATGCATGATACACACTTAGGCAATCATGTATCTTTCGATACATGACTGACAAGGCAGGTCTTTTCCTGCAGTAGGTTGCCATTTCTTTCTGCAGTATAGATATATCAGAGATTCTTTTTTTTTCTGATTTATCAAAGAAAAAAACATAGATATATTAGAGATACTTTTTTCTTTAATAAATCAGACATCTATCAATGAGTTGAGAAGTAAAAAGCAAAAAAATACTTTTTACTAAAAATGTTACCTTTGCTTGGAAATATAAGATTTCCAGTTCATTATCAGGTGTGATGCTGATCAATTGTCCAATGTTGTCCTTTCCAAAGGCACTATAGTCTAGTCGTTCTACAGCACAAATCTGATCAGTCGGTTTCGCAGAATGAACCTTGGGAAAAGAAAAAAGGTTTATGAAATTCATTTAAAGAACTACTCTTTTATGTTTTTATTTTCAAGGAATCATGTCTTGTTTTTCTCATTGTATTAAGTATACATTGTGGTAAAGTTATTATTCAAATTTTAATCTTATTTTTCATATCTCAAGAAATATTTTCTACAAATATGGTTATGTATGAATTTTTAAACACATATTACCAGGCTAAAAAGAAAAGGAAAAGTTTTACAAAAATATGCATCTGGTTGCCATTTCTATAACAACAAAGCTCCTTTGTCAACAATGAACTCAAATAAAGCTACTTCAGTTCAGATTATATTCTATACTATGTAATTAATTTTTTTTTGTAATCATTTCACCCCAAGCAAGACAATAAAGCTATTATGATGCAAGGGAGTGTGAGATAATACAAAAAAAACACTATTAAGAAGAGAGAACAATAAAAGAACAGGAATTAAGAAGACAGAAGATAATGACATTGCATTTAAATTTTTGAAAATGAATGTTTTCTGGGAAGCATGAAGCCAGAAAAGAGTTCCACAAGCAAGAAGGGCAAGAGAAGAATCTGTTAGCATAGAACATACAGTTACATCTAGCGGCCATTTCAACTGTAAAATGATTAAACCTTGCTACCAATCAAGTACCACACTTAAATTCATAAAGTCTACGTACCATAAAGGAAAGTTCATCAGAAAAATTACCATTAAAGTATTTATAGAAAAGACACATGGAAACTATATTACTGTGGTGAGAAAGTGACTGAATCTGAGATGCCAGGTCAAGACCACTAACAATACAGATTTTTCTTTGTATTTTATTTCATTTTATTTTATTTCACTTTATTTTATTTTATCCCATGGGCACCATGTGTACTGCAGCCACATAGCAAGATAGCCTGACAAAGCCCAACTCTCTCCAGGCCAGTTTTGAATTCAGAGTTTTTCCTTCTCCTAGACTGGTTGCCCCCCAAGGTTATAGAAACCAGTCTGTTCTGCTATTTACTCATAGCTGAGAGAATAGATGGATTCATACCTTTCCCTTTTCACGTAAGTGAATGTAATGGATCCAACTGGAATTCAAACCTGGATCTCTGATTCTTCAATCCGAGCCACTATGCATTACTCCACCATGCCTCCCTTACTGTATTTTGTTAAGAATCTCTAAATACATCACAGAAGTACCTAACCAGATGTAGCAGTAATATTCAAAGTATGGGAGACTTATCAATATGTCAGATAGAGTCTGTCAAGAAAAATTGTCTAGCATGACACAGTGAACCAACTTTCCTAGCAGAAGACCTAGCAATTGATTCAATATAATGTTTCCATTTCCTGCCAGCAGAAAATGTTAGCCCAAGGAGGTGCAATGAGCCACTCTCTTGGAGGTTATCCTCAGCTATGCTGATGGATGGTAAAAATTTCCAACATTCTTTAATGTGTGTGTGTGTGTTCATTCATATGAAAGCAATGCTTGTTTTCAAATTTCTGATTTTTCAAGAAGCTTATTAATGAAAAGGAATTAAAATAAAAATAAATTTATCCTAAAAAAAACCCCAAATCTATATTCCATTTCATAATCTATATTTCTAGTTATTTATAAATGTAAAAGACAATAAGAAAACTGTAATATTAGCCGACGCATTTCGTCCAATGTGGACTTTTTCAAGGCAAAAACGAAATGAAATTGTTTCTTATTGTCTTTTACTTTTGTAAATATTGTCTTTTTCTACAGATTAACTCTGAGAAATTTTTCACATTTCTAGTTATGTTTATGTACATTTGAACTTAAAATTGAGACAACAAAAATCAGATGAACATTTTTCTTCCTTAAAAGCATAGAAAGATAAGTGTGCTAATGAAAAAAGGTCCACAGCATAAAAAATAAAACCTTTTTATTTAACAAATTCAGTATGATTAACAAATAATCAATATTTTAACAAATCACAAAATACTGTTGAGAAATTGCAGAGTGCTGTATAATATTAACATCTTCTCACCAATATGTCACTTTACATGGCCTAAAAGACAGGAATATATTAGCAACAATAGGGCACATCTAATGCAGATGCTATGAATATTAATACATATGAGGGCAGATCAATATGTAGTAATAAAATAGTTATTAGTTGAATTTTGATATGAAATTTTCAAAATAAGTAATAAATAGAGAAGTATTATACATATTAGGTTTTTAAAATTCATCTGCTCCTGTTTACAGAGATTGGTTACATGATATTAGGCAGTCTCTCATTGGATAATAAAACCATGTGGGTTCAAAAAAAGCTGACCACCACCAGAGAAAGGACTGGACCAGCTCCAAAGTAACACAAAAGAAATTCTCTCTGCCGCAACAGTTACCAGTTGCTGAGAGTTTTAAAGGTAGAAGCTATCTATCCCTATTTCACTCTACCAGATTTCACCTGACATATTCTCTATATATAGGAAAGAACATTGTGTTTATATTTTAACTGTTGTATTCATGTTTAGGTGTAAATTGTTGGATTTGTAAAATTCATCTGCTCCTATATATAGAGATTAGTCACATGATGTTAAGCAGTCTCTAATCGGTTAATAAAACTACATGGGTTCAGAAAAAGTTTACCATCGCCAGAGAAGGGATCAGACATGTTCTGAAGTAACACAGAGGAAATTCTCTCTGCCGCCAATGGTACCAATTGCCAAGGGTTTTAAAGGTAGAAGCTATTCAGCCCTATTTCCCTCCACCAGATGAGTAAGTCCACCTGACATATTCTCTGTATATAGGAAAGGACTTTGCATTTATGTTAACCATTGTATTCATGTTTCAGTGTAAATATATATCTTTATTAAATGTTGATAAAGTATTCTTCTTATTCATGTCAGTCCCAAAGTAAAGTGGGACTAGCACAATAAATTGTTGGACCCAAGTGATTTTATTAATCAATGAGAGACATAATGTGCCAGTCTCTATATATAGGAGCAGATAAATTTTACAAACCCAACAGGTGTATCAACATGGAAGGAGTATATATTGAAAAATAAATATTTATATTATGTATTTTCATCATCATTACTTTCATTTATGTACATATGTGTGCATAACATGTGACATTATTGAAGAAAAGAAATTGATTATCTAAATGAAAAAAAATTACTTATCCACTGCTAAGCAAGGAATGTATTATGCTTACCTGTATAATAATTATGTAACATTATAAAAATCAACACAAATTTACCTTAACAATAGAACTTCTTTGTGCAGGTATACCTCACCCTATGTCCTTATTTGGTTCCAGAGGTCACGACTTAGGTCAAAAAACAACTTAAGTCAAAATAACCACACTGTAAACCACAAATAAGCACTCCCCTTGCCTATTACAGTATTTATATTTACATACAGTATTCTGAATAAAATAATTAATTTCCACCTTATCTTCCAGTGATATAGCTTTATGCTTAGCATTAGCACTTGCACTGGGACTTTTCTTCGGAACTAAAAAATATATTCTAAATCACAATTGAAATGTAATTGAAAGAACGTCAGCAGCAGAGTACAGACATAAACATGTCTGAATTCAAAATTGGTTTTGGACCAGAAGAAAATGCATGAGTGCCACCTGTTGGCAGGAATTTAAAATATGAACATCTGCTGAGCATACTTTATCATACTAATTGTTTTATTTTTGATGATTCTATGATATATATACTATATATATATATATATATATATTTATATATATATATAGTATACATAATATTATTTTAAAATTTATTTGAACCTAATTTTATGTGTTTATTGTTATTTTAGTGTTTTGACATTTCTAATATTTTTAATGGCCAACGTAAACGTAGACAATCTAAGGCAAGTTTTATTTTTCCATATAATATTTAAGAAAAACTTATGTATCTTTGGAAATGACTTAACTCGAAATGACTTGTCAAGGTATCACTGTATATTTGCAGTTGTCAACTTATATCCTCCTAGTGTCAGTTTAAATTGATACCTATTTCTGTATAGTAACCATTTTGTTTAAAGTTATTATTTTCTTGATTTCAGATGAAAATTTGGAAATTTTCCAATATATTTCAGTGAAGTTTTCACTTTACAAAATTATCATTTATAATTATATTCTAGATATATAGAAAAAAAGAAAATCTCAGTTTAAAGTGAAGCCCTGAGGATATACATTTATACAATGTTTTGGTTGATCCATTTTTCTATGTAACAAGTTTATTTCATGACATTTTTGAATATGATACATTTTCAGCTTAAGTCATCAAGAAGAAAGCTTTTCTTTGGTGATCTTCAATATTTACAGAGTTCATAATTTTCATTTATTAATGAAAATTTAATAAGTACATGGAAATGTATCTGCTAAAGTAAAAAAAAAACAATTTTTTTGTTGTATAAGTAAAGATTACTTAATTTAAAATAGATTCAAAAGAACATTTATAAAATATGCTTTTGTGTTTGCCATGCCTAAAAAGATGGATAAGAAAAATGATTCAAATAAACAGGTTTTATAAACAATTTTTTTCATTATATTTCTTTACCCAATTAATTTCTACCATAATTACAATATTTTTTCTTCTTTAGTACAATTGTATTGCTTAAATCAAACAGTCTGTAGTTCAGCCAACTTTCATGTTCTGGATTTGCTGGCATTAGTCTGTGAATCTGATACTAGAGTTCTTTGATTTGCCTTCAAATTGTATTTGGAACTACAATTTAGCAGTAATTTATAAACCAATTCATAAAACTAAATGTGCAAAAATCTGACCATCATCTGAATAAATGTTTTTAGTAAAAATCAAATATGATTCCAGTTTATAAACAATATACAAATAAATCACATGAAACAATGTAATCGTAAACTGATTTGAAATCTAAATAACTTAAAATAATGAAGTTTAAAAAAGAAATTAAAACATTCTTTCTGTTTCAAGTGTAGTATAAATATCAAAATTTGTTTCTATCGCAGCCTTATGGGTCAGTTTCTGTTTTCAGGTATTTTATGTAATCAAGCAAGGGCCAGGTTGCAAGGTTAAAGAATTAACTGGTATTAATTATTAGAATTAGAATAAAAATCCAGTATCATAGGCTTCTAAAAAAAATTGGTATTAATTATAAGCTTATAAAATACAGCTTTAATTATAGATTAATGTTTACCATCTCAAAAAAGAGGGAAAGCCAGTATTTGTGTAGGCAAAAAATAAATTTCATTTGTAGCTTTTCAGTCATTGGAGTAACAGTCATTTCTTGCACTTTTAGAATCAAAACATGAAATAATATTAACAATCATCTTGAATTATTTTTATAAAAATAGAAAGTCTTTGAAAAAAAAAATGAAGAGTAAGGCAGACATTTTGTCTAAAGAGAATATGATGCAACATGATTGACAGGTAAATATAATTCCCTTCAACAAGAGAGCTTTCATTGGAATTAAAGAAATAAGTTCCTTGATGATTTACCTTACTTTCGGGTAAAGCAGAATACCTTAACTCTTTGTAAGTTAGCCAAAAGTATTGTGGCTTAAAAGAGAATGAAAATGACAGACGGTTCAGCAGTTTTTTGGATGAATATCGGCATTTGTGAAGGTAACCTTCCTTCAGTATAACCCCAGGGTAGAAAGGCTGTCGGTGACGACGCTGTTGTTCTAAAGCTGTTGAAAAATAAAAGAAAATTTTTATAAATATTTGCTTCCCAGGTTGCAAATCATTATGTATATATCTTTAAGGTCACATGAATTACTCAAAGATGTATTGAAAAAGTTCTGCAACTATAGAAGTAGTCAGTTTAATATAAAATATAAGGACAGGAAGGTTATCAGGTTGGACAGAATAAGGGAAAACTTGGACCCCATATGAAATAACAGAAAAACTTGGACCCCATATGAAATAACAGAAAAGACTAGTTAAATCTTTCATGGCTTTTTGACTTAGTATGAAACAAATAAAATTATACAAAAATCAAATACAAAAAATAATAGATTGGTTTTCAGTCAGACACAAACAGTTAGCCCTTAAGCTCATGTAATACTTTTGAAAAGCATTAGGCAGTGTGCTCATGACCAAAGAAAATTAGAATTGCTAAAGCATTGGAAGAGATGTGAGGGTACCAGTTATTGTGTTGGAAAGTAGAATTCATAAGCCATGTTCAAATTTTCACCTAGTTTTTGCATTCCTTTCACATGAATATTGTTTGGAAAAACATGAATTCATCTCATTGCCCTCCTACTATGGAGCAAATAGTAGGTTTGGTTTATTTTGTTTTATAGCATATCAACCTGAATGGATTATTTAATGCTGACAAAATTTTTAGGATAAGTTTGTATGATTAGAATATGTATTGTTTAAATAAACCATGGCTTATGAATTCCACTTTTCAACACAATAACTGGTACCTTCACATCTCTTCCAATTCTTTAGCTATTCTAATTTTCTTTGGTCATGAGTACACTGCCTTACAATTACTCCATTGTCTCTAGTTTTAGTAGAATTTCAAAATTCAGTTTTTAGAGTTCCTAATGCTTTTCAAAAGTATTACATGAGCTTAAGGGCTAATTGTTTGTGTCTGACTGAAAACCAATCTATTATTTTTTGTATTTGATTTTCGTATAATTTTATTTGTTTCATATTGTGTCAAAAAGCCATGAAAGATTTAATTAGCCTTTTCTGTTATTTCATATGGGGTCCAAGTTTTTCTGTTATTTCATATGGTGTCCAAGTTTTCTGTTATTTCATATGGGGTCCAATTTTTTCTGTTATTTCATATGGTGTCCAAGTTTTTCTGTTATTTCATATGGGGTCCAATTTTTTCTGTTATTTCATATGGGGTCCAAGTTTTTCTGTTATTTCATATGGTGTCCAATTTTTTCTGTTATTTCATATGGTGTCCAATTTTTTCTGTTATTTCATATGGGGTCCAAGTTTTCCCTTATTCTGTCCAACCTGATAATCTTCTTGTCCTTATATTTTATATTAAACTGACTACTTCTATACTTGCAGAACTTTTAAGCTGGTGACCATTTCACTATCTTTTCCAAGAAGTTATCACAATTTACAGATAATAAAGAAATTGAACTTTCAAAGAGCTATGATTGCCTACATCCTGAATGAAGATTACATTAAAAAATTATTATTAGAAATTTCATTAATTAGAAATCTCAGAAAAAATAATAGATACGTAATATTTTAGTTTTAGTTCATTCAGAGGTTGAAGTAAAAATCTGATAATCAGAATGGCGATTTTATTGAATACATTTACAATTTAGTATTTCAAGATATTTTTGTGTAACTCTGGTTAATATATCTGTTAAAATGAGATGTCAGTATTATCTTCATTTTTGTGTAATTTAGACAACATTTTATACATCGCAACCTATATATATATATATATATATATATATTTACTTTCCACCTGGACTCTTTCTCTATTTCACTTATGTTTTTTTTTTTAATCATTTAACCCCAAGCAAGGCGGGAATGCCACTCATACACAGGGGGTTACAGAGAGTGAAGTTGAGAGAAAAGACTGGGTATAGGAAGGATTGAGGAAAGTATAAAATTTTGAACAAGATTCAAGAAGACAGAAGATGGCAATTGACATTGCATTTAAATTTTTGAAGACTGTAGTTTTCAGGGAAGCAATTAGACAGAAGGGAGTTCTACAGGTAGGAAGTGCGAGAAAAGAAACTTGGAGTAGAAGTGGCAGTTACATTTAACTATTTTGACATTAAAAGAGTTGGACCTAGATGCCTATCTAGGAGCATGCTTAAATTCATCTAGTTGGGACACTTAGAAAAGAAGCTCATTAGAGCAGGTAGCCATGAAAATATTTATAGAAAAGACAGAGGGAAGCCACATCATGTCTGCGAGAAAGTAACTGAAGTCAAGATCCCTGGTCAAGATTGATTACATTGTAGATCCTACTTTCAATTTTGTCAACAACCTCGAAATGAATAGCAGGATCACCAGACCAGATATGGCATCAAAAGATTTGTAAATGTGCAAGATGAACTCTGATGAGAAAAACTTTCTGGTATGACACAGTGACCCAACTTTCCTTGCAGTAGATGCAGCTATTGATTAGATATAGTCATTCCACTTTAAGTCAGTTGAAAACATGAGGCCAAGAAGACACAGTATGTTGCTCTCTATGATTCTAGCATCAGCCATGGACAGGAAAGATTTTCTATGGTGGTCAAATGAGAGCAGTTTACTTTTGGAGGTATTCAAATTTACAAGCCATTTCCTGCTTCTGATTGGAGGTCCTTTTCAAGAGCAGATGGCCAGGCTAACTTTGTCAGCTCTCATGAATTTACTATTGAGACAGAAGTAAATAGTAGTGTCATCTGCAAAAATGCCTACTTGGAAACTGATGACATCAGGAAGATCATTGATGAAGATCAGAAACAGTGTAGGACCCAGGATAGAGCTTTTGGGGACACCCACATTTGTGTGAGAGAATCTGTTCAAAACAACATTCATTTCATGATTTGATAGGAATGATTGGATTAAATCAAACAATCACACTGTAATACTGTAGCCTTGGAGGTTATATAGAAGACCAGCATGCTAAACCCTGTCAATTGCCTTTGAGATATCTAAGGCCTCAGCTCAAGCTTTGCTGTTATTATCAAGAGCTTGATATACATATTCAGCAATGATAGCACATCAGCAGTTGACCTGGAAAAATGGAAGGCATATTGTTTGTCAGAGATTAGGTCATGAGCGGTAAGATGCTTAACCACTTCAGCATTGATTAAAGCCTCAAATACTTTGCCAAAAAGTGGTAGCAGATGAATAGGGTGATAGAGTGGTCAGAAGGTTGTCCAGTTCTTAAAAACAGGAACTACAGATGAGGACTTCCAGCAAGCTAAAAAGCAGGAAGCAGTGAGGCAATAATTGTAGAATTTTGAGAGAACTGGAGCCAGCTTGGGAGCACATTCTTTAGAACGATGGCTGGGATCCCGTCACCTCTGTTTGCCTTATGGGAGTCTAATTCAGAAATGATTTCCAAGACCAGTGATGGAGTTATGTGCATATTACTTTTACATATAGGACTTTTACACTTGAAGTCTTGAAACTTCAGCTTATCCTTTTGTATTATTATATTGTATTATATAAAGATTTATTTTGTATTTATCAATATTCTGTGCATTTTCATTTAATCATTACACAAGGCTAATATCCACCAAAATCACATATACTGATATAGGGTGGGAACGAACATTGTCATAAGATAAACAAGTCGTCCACAACCTCATAACTACCATAAGAACACAGTGAAGAAAAGGATCATTTAATGATCAAATAAAAAACAAACTGTTAGAAGTGCCAAGCTGCTGATTCATTTTCTTCATTTTTTCCCCCCAATGCACATGTGTTTGTTTCTGGATAAGCCTCCATGACTGTTCACAATGCTTCATTGTCAAGTGACTGATCAAATTCAGTTTTGAGATCCAAATCACTAAAAGGGGAAGTTTTTGAAACCAACAATACACAATCCATTCTGAAGCTGATTCTAGCCCTCGAGTATGTTGATGCTGTGGGAATATTATTACACAAAAATTGTCTTTATTCGTCTTTGCTTCAATGCCAGATAAAAAAAATAGTAAATAAAAAATTTGAACACCACCCAACAAGTAAGTGCAGATCTTTAAAACGATATAGAGATGTATGCATAAAACAGAAGGGAATTATGTGAAAAACAAAGCATGATTACAATAATGCAAAAGATTTGCTTCACACCTAAGACTTTTTTTTTTCTGGTATGAAAATCTATATCTGTGAATTCTGGCTATTGGTTTCTATGGGGTTTTAACTTTTTTTGAAAAGAATTCATTATATTTCTTCAAACTCTTTCACACGTTCTTCCTCAGCATCTACTAAATTGAAATGTTTAGATTTAAGATTATAGTTTTTTTTTAGATTAACAAAGCTACATATAATTTTCACCCACTTAAAAAATTGACAAAAAACACTAATTTATTAAAAGGCCATCAAAAATATCCTGGTTAATCTAAGAAGTCCAGGTTTTAAAGATCAATCATGTTTAAAAAGTAAAAAAAACAATGTTGTTAAAAGATTTAAAAAAAAAAAAAAGATTGCCAAAATAACAAAGTACACAATCAAACTTACTATAATCTTCATCAATATCAGTAAGAGTGTCTATGAAAGTTCGCACATCATTGATTTTCTCATGGATGAATCCATGAAGGGGTTGCATCCATTGCTCTTTTCCAACTGGCTCTGATAGATTTCCAATTGTTTGTGTTACCTGATAGTAAAAAAAAGTTAAATATATGAGTCATTGAGAACTAGAAAACATGACAACAGGGAGATCAAACTTGTAGGCTTTTTCAGAACAGTTTAGTTTGGTTTATTTTGTTTTACAGCATATCAACCTCAACTGGTTAAGTATGCTGACAAGATTTTAATTGCTGGTAATATTCTTGTTCAAAAATGTATTGCTGGTAATATTTTTTTCCAAAAAAGTACTTCTGGTATTAAAACCTATTTATATAGTGTTTTGACCCATTTAGGGGGTTAACTATTCGCCCATATTTGGGACCCTAACAGCTGCTACCACCCCAGGTCAGGGTGGACCTGGGAACATAAGCAATTAAAAGGTACTTCCATGCTCCTCAAAACCTCCTGATCAGAGGCCTTGCTGTCGGATGTAGTTTATCGTCTTACCCAGGACACGGATGTAGTTTATCGTCATTTCAGAAAATTTATTTATTTTTATTTGTATGTTAATAGCACCCATCATTTTTTAAAAATTGAATATGATTTTCTTTTTAACTTTATCCTTAATAGCAATACTTCTTGGCTTACTGATATCTGTACTGGAAATGACATTAAAAAGAATTCCTACTCAGTTTAGACAAGCAATCATAAATTTGGATTATCATACCTGTCAAAGTTAAGCATTCAAAATTTGATTTTCATATTAATTGTTTAACATTAAAAGATTAACATTATTATGCTTGATTAACATTAATGTCATATCAACATTAATATCATATCAACATTATATTGATATTATGCAATCTAGCATATGTGCTAAAATTGTGCAGTTTAATAAACTGAAATTGTATAGTGCAGAAAAGTGTCACATCTATTTGCAATTAGCATGGATTGGTGACATTAGCACAAGATATACTAGGTAAATCCTTCAAAATCTGTGACATTATTGTTTTCTGCTAATCTTCAATTTGTTTTCACTTGTTATGCCACAATCTAGGCATAAGAATGTTATAACTTGTTAGTTTGGTGATTTATATCTTTAAATGTCAGTGTGCTGCTGGAAATATAAGTAGAACTAGTCAGATGTTGGAAGTAAGAACTGATCAGCTGGCTAAGATTCATAGAGGGCAATATAATTTACATTGGTGTTTTAATGCACCTAGATCTATGTCTGAAGAATGTCTCCTAAATATTTTGATTTGTGTTTTATCTTTCACCAGAGATACTTTCTCAGTTTTCAACAGAGCACATTCAGATGATAATGTGAAAGCAGTTGAGACTTTATATATCTATATATATATATATAAAACAGAGGATGTCTGTGTGTGTGTCTGTTTGTCTTTCTGTGTAATATATTTTCTCTCAAGATCCAATTGAAAGTCAATTTGTCAGTGTGCTACCAGGGATGTAAACGAGGATACATTTATAAAGCAATTAAGTTTGATGAAAATTGGCTGAAAGATCAACAAAAAATAAGAAAGGAACCAGTAAAAAATCGCCATTTTTCACTATTTACACGGTTTTCACTATATGGGTTGACTCAATTATCAAGTTAAATGACTGATAAAACAATCATCTTATTGTTGGCTATGATTGAGTGAAGTTTATATTAGATTGCTTGAAATTTAAGGGAGTTTTTAGTTTAAAATTTGTGTTGAAATTGATTTGTGTTAACATCGATTTTTTGCTTTTCACAGTTTTTCACTAAACGTAGTGGCATAGAAATAAAAATGAGATATCATTGAACTCCACATGATGAAAGTAACCTACATACTGAGTTTGAATGAAATTGGAGGAAAAAAAGTTGAATTTATCGCTTTTTGATCAGCTTTATTGATTATTGATTTTTTAAAAAAGTATCACTTTTTTACATTAAGAACCTATCTCTTACATGGTACAATGTATTTGCCAAGTTTAGTCAAAATCGGTTGGATGGATCTCGAGTGAAAAGATATCACACAGACAGACAGACACACAGACATACTCTGTTTTATACATATATAGATGATTTGTTTAAAAAGTTACTTTATCAACTGAACCACAATGTCCAAATGTATTTTGTAGAGTGAAGGAAATGCTTTCTCTCTAGTAACAAGGATAATTTGTTAAAGTTTATATGATCTGGGGCATCTTATTTTAATTCAAATGTTTTACACATATTCATATCTTTTTTTTTATGATTAAAATAACTTTAAGAAGTACTTGCCTTGGCTAATAATGTAAGAGTACGGCTGACCTTCCTGTCTGGATGATGTTCCTGAAGCAGGAAGAGCTTTGGTGACAAAACAGCTGGGACAAAGAATCGCAAAAACAGAAACCCACTCACTGCATGGTATGCATAATCCTGAGAAGAGACAAAAAAAGTTGGAAGGCCATAGAGAAAAATGGTATACAGATGGTATAAGCTACATTCATAAAATATATTTCTGTGATTTTTATGAGACAGAAAACAAATAGAGCCACAAAAGTAAAATACCATTTGAAATAAATGTAAACAATTTATAATAATGTTCATTATAATGTTAAACTATTCAGAATGATTTTTATTTACTACACTTATTTAATCATACAATTTATCATGGATTCTTACTTGCTCACTTCTTGTAGCTTGCTAATACTTAAATGATCCAATATTTTCATAAATAGAACTTATTCAAAATCTCAGTCCAATGCAAAATGTATCTATTCTGATTTCACTGAATATTTTAACTTTTTGGAAATGTAATGGATGTGCAAGTAGTTTAACTGTTATCAGCATTAAAATTGGAATTAAGATTCCTGCCAAGATTATTGAATTCACTTCACACTATTGCCCTTGGGAAAGGCAAGAATGCATATCTTCTCCCTCACAAAACAATTGTAATAGGTCATTAATATAAACTTTTATACATAATTTTATTCACACATGTTAATAGGTTTCAATAGTAGCAAATAAATTATGAATAAAAATAATTTCACAAGATTTTTTTTTCTTTTCTCATTTAGATATATATCTGTTTTTGATATCATTTAGAATATATCTGTTTCTCATTTAGATATATATCTGTTTTTGATATCATTTAGAATATATCTGTTTCTCTTCTCATTTAGATATATATCTGTTTCTCTTCTCATTTAGATATATATCTGTTTTTGATATCATTTACATATATATCTGTTTTTGATATCATTTCATCCTAATTCAGAGTTTTATTTAGTGTAAACAGTTTAATACAACAGTTAATAAACACTTGGTGTATATAAAATTTACAATTTCTAACTGATAAAACTAAAAAATTGTATGGTGAAAGTTTTACATAAAACATATTAATAGATATTGTAAAACTACCCGTCTGTAGATTCCAGACCCAATTAGTACATATAATAATAGGAGATAATGGAAGATTCTGCTTTTATATCCAATGGCAGATAACTAAATATATCCTTTGTTAAAGGGTAATAACTCTTTTGAAGAACTCTCCCTATTTTTTACTTTCTTCAAGACATTTGCAACTCTGTGATGTGAAGTCTTTTAATTTTGATTGTATGAAGGAACTTTCTTTGTGAAGGAATCTGCAGTCTGTTCATACTCATGATATTTCCATTATTTCACACTTATTTAATATCTCTAAGTATACAAATTTCATTGTGCAGTTTGTCTAGAATTTCAGTGGAAAAATAAGCTGCACCATGAAGTGAAGAATTATTGGTGTAACAGTTTATAGGCACATTTCTAGTTTCATCTTCTTAAGAAACCAATGAGTTCTAAGATAAATTTTCTGTAGAAAATAATTGCTTCTGCAACGTCAACCATAGCTAATGTTTCAGCAGCCAAAGTGCTTTCGACTGCTCTCCTTTTAGACTGTCATAACATAGGCATGTATTTGCCATCATCACCAGCTAGAAATAATATCTATCCTCCTTCTGATCCTCTCTCCAATAGGTTATCAAATGAAGTATCATTGTAAGTAACAATCTTTACTTTTTCAAGGTTACTGGAATGAGTATCAGATTTTTCTCACTTAACTGTTCTAACAGATTTATTGACTTGCTTAAAGCTGCCAACTCTTTTCTAATTCTAAACTGAATTTACTTATATGATAGCTCAGATCTGGTCTAGTTTGAAATGCCACCCAGTTAAAATGACCAATCAATTACCTGAATTTTTGTAACTCCATTTTGCAATATTATATCATGAACGTATCAGTTAACTTCCAGTGGGACAGGCAGCAGGTTTTTTTTATATATTCTTCCAGCCAAACTATTATACTCTCCCAATTATTTTAAAACATTTTTACATATTTTTTAAAAATGTTTACATATTCATTTGACCAAACTATTATACTCTCCAAATTATTTAAAAACATTTTTTACATATTTTAAAAATTTTTTTACATATTCTTTTGGCCAAACTATTATACTCTCCCAAGTATTTTAAAAATTTTTTTACATATTTTTAAAAATCTTTTACATATTCTTCTGGCCAAGCTATTATACTCTCTCAACTATTTTATATTTTTTTATATATTTTTTAAAAATTTTTACATATTCTTTTGGTCAAACTATTATACTCTCCCAAATATTTTAAAAATTTTTACATATTAAAATTTTTACATATTCTTTTTAAAATTATTTTTATTAAAAAAATTTAATATTTTTTAAAAATTTTTTGGTTTTGGTCAAACTATTATACTCTCCCAAATATTTTAAAAAATTTTTACATATTTCTTAAAAATTTTTACATATTCTTTTGGTCAAACTATTATACTCTCCCAAATATTTAAAAAATTTTTTATATATTTTTTAAAAATTTTTACATATTCTTTTGGTCAAACTATTATACTCTCCCAAATATTTTAAAAATTTTTTACATATTTTTTAAAAATTTTTACATATTCTTTTGGTCAAACTATTATACTCTCCCAAATATTTTTAAAATTTTTTACATATTTTTAAAAATTTTTTACATATTCTTCTGGCCAAACTATTATACTCTCTCAACTATTTTTTTAATTCTAATTTTTTGATTTAATTTTCAAAACTTTTCTGAAGCTGATCCAAATTGTTGGTTTGAAAATTATGATCCAGCAAAATCAGAAATTGTTAATATGCGTAGTATTGATACAATGTAAATGTTAAAACAACATGTATAAGAAATGATGGAATTTCCCGCCAAGGAAAGTTCTAGAAAAATTGGATCATCTTTGGCACAATTCTTAATATATAAAAATGCCTATGTACATTTTCAAAAAAATAAAACATTCAACCACATACTTGGACCAATTGTGTGTACAAGAAAATATGCGATCATTTCATAAGAAATTTGTGGAGCTAACACACGTGTGTATGATCCCATCAAAACATTTAAAAATGAGAATATTTTCAAACTGCTTAAGAACAGTTTACTTGTCCAGCAAACAATATGAAATACAACTGTCTCTCACTGCAAGTCCGTTCCTTTGACCGCTGAATGAACAGTATCAATTACAATTCTCAAATTGGCGATAATGCTTTTAACATCACACAGCTGCTGATATTTCTCTAAAACTCGCAGAGACTTTAAAGAAAAACAAAGCACTAACAACTAATTTTTGTTATCAGATATTTCCACAAGTCTTGTGTTATAAAAAGAAAAGAAAAGAAAAACTTCTTTATTTTGTAGCACTCATGTTAATCATTTTCTATTAACATTAGTACTACTACACATGTAAAATTGACCTGGTTACACTTTTAAGGAAGTACTCCTATTTTTTTTTAGATCCTTTCTGATCATTAAATATGATACACAAAAGGCATCTGACAATCCATAAATACTGTGACAGCTTTCAAAGGTATCTTTGTAGTATATCAATATATCAACCTCCAATGAAGTAGTTTTGCAGACAAACAGTTTCAATCTCTACTGATTTACACATCTGTCTATTTGAGGATATTATTCTCAATGCAATCAGAAAATCGTCCTTGGTTGGAAAATCTAGAGGAATCACTTCTAATGGTGCCTGCTTCAGTGTCTTGAAAGACTCTTTGCTACTCGTCTTGCCTTAATAAATGGTTTTCCATTAAATTTTTTGTTTGCACAATTATATTTTGCATATATACTTAAGTGGCCATTATCAGGAACTTGTTCAAATATTTTATTTTCAATTCAGCTCTGCATCTGAACTCCACTGAACAATCGGCCTAATGAGCCACATAACAAAACTAATCATTCATATTCTGATGAATAGAGCGCACAGCAGAATCAGGCCAGAGATAAAAAATAAAAAAAAAGAACAGTACGGGTCCGTTATGTCCCCCTTTACAGCAGTGAATGTTGGAAGGTCTCCTCAAAGATGAAGAAGAAACTTGAGGCGACAGAGACGTGGTTGTACAGAAAGATGCTAAGGATATCATGGACTGAGCATGTGCGCAATGATGAGGTCTTAGAGAGGATGGAAACAAGAAGGAGGCTTATATTTAACATCAGGAAGAAGCAGCTGAAATTTCTGGGACACTTAATGAGAAAGGAGGACCTGGAGAATCTGATACTCACAGGTCAAATAGAGGGAAATAGAGACAAGGGAAAGCAATGCATAACATTCCTGGATGGCTTAAGCAAGTGGATAACAGATCATGGCCTAGGGGAAGTAGCAAAGGCACAAAATTTATTGAGAGCTACAAAGGATAGGGGGAAGTGGAGAGCCATGATAATCTATGTTCTGAAAGGACATGGCACATAAAAAGAAAGAAAGAAGTTACTTTTCCTTTCCATCTCCTAATTCATGGATGCTAACATTGCATCTGCACATCAGATGGATTCTATCGTCTGTCAGTTTTACAGTAACCATAATAAAAGTAAATCTAATATCATACAAACATTATACAAATTTGTCTCAGCAACTTTCAAGATTCCTTTAGATTTTCCTGAAACAATATCAATTTATTGTAAATACTTACAAAAAATAAATACAACCTAATGAATAGTAAAAATAAATTGGCAAATATGCTGTCAATATATTTTGATAAAATCAGTTTCACAGCCACTAGTGTCTAAACATTCAGAATTTTACTGAACTACACTACAGTTCAAAAGTTTGAGGAAACCCTTGGTATTTTTTTTTTAATTGACCCAAAACGTAGTTGTTTTGTACTTTCAATAAGAGATAGTTATTATACATAGTTAAAAAAAAGTGAGATATGATTTTCTATTAGAAATTTTATTATAACAAAAAGAAAGAAAAGCATTTTATGATTAAATTTTGCTCTCATCAAAATATCCTCCCTTAGCCTTGATTACTGCAGTACAAATTTTTGACATCCATTGCAAAATTTTCTTAAAGTATAAGTTTGATAATTGATTCCATTCTTTTTTCAATGACTCTAAGAGCTCTTTTTCATTTTTTTTTCACTCTTTTGTCAAGTCCATCCTCTATTAATTCCGGGGGTGGCTTCAAACTTTTGAATTGTAGTGTAATTTTATCAATTCTTACAAAATTTATCTTCTTCTCTAATGATTATTTGTTCCTGAGATATCACAAAAATATAATATTTATATCATTAAATATCCCCCAAAATTTAAATCAATAATAACATTTCTAGAGATTACATCAGGCTTAGTTGCAACGTGTTATTCAATTTTCTATACAGTGTTACATGTAATCACAAATAATAATGTTTTTTTTCTGAGAATACATTTTGAACAGGGGTTGCCTTACCGAATTAGCCTCATTGTCTGGAGACCATTTACATTGCACTTGTTCCTTAAGATTTTTAAAGACCAGCCGCATCAAAGAAGGACATTTGCTATGAGAGTTCAGAATTGTATGCATGATATGTGTAATGTAGCTGGTTACTGCAGTTTTGCTGTGTTCAAGAACATGTCCATTGGAATCCTTAATGCTTGACCAATGTCGCCTAAAATACAAAAAAAATATATATTATAATGTCAAGTGAAAAAAAAAATTCTTTACTAATGTTTTTAGATGATTCAGGTTTTCTTAGTAACTTAAACAAGTGATAGAAAAATAATGAAAATAATGAAAAATAATGAAAATGGTGAAAAATAATGAGAATAATGAAAAATAAAATAAATAATCACTCAGTGTAAAGCAACAGACAACAACTTTTAAAAATTTTCCATTGGCTTTCATCATCAAAAGTTATTTTAAGCATCAGAATTCGCTTATTAAAAATATACTCTTAATGTTTTTTTTTTATGTAATTCAGTCAGTCAGTTATGTGCCATGTGTGATATGCACATATGCAATCATGTATCTTTCGATACATGACTGACAAAACAAAGACAGAAACTGTGAATGGACAGACGTCCTCAAACCCATCACCTCATCCATGAATGCTACAGTCAACAGTGCTACTGGTGTATCCCTGCCATTATACCATCACTGATCATCACCCCAAAATTGGTTTGCCTAAACTACACTGACAAGAAGTTGCGAAAAATAACCCGGGGGCTTACGGTATGCAAATAAATGCTCTGCTAAAGCAAGTGCACCACCATTTCACCTTAGCCAACAACAAATCTGACCAAAAACTAGAAACCAGCTTATACCACCTTACCTACAAAAACCCAATACAAGTCAGTGACAAGGTTTTACTTCATCAGTCACAATCAACCATAGCCCACTCATCACATCTTCCCTGGATAGGCATCTTTGAGGTTGTCAAAAAAAAAAATGGTATGGTCCTTCAGGTAAAAAATGAAAAGGGTAAAGTTGACAGGATACACCACACCCACATTTGCCACCTTGTACCATGGCCAATTCACTTAGAACATCGATTTGTGCCACTTCTACCACTACAAACAGCACTGCAGCTATCAAATTCCCTATCCTCATTTCTGTCTGGGGTGCATTCAGAAGCTAGAAACTCCAGACCCTGCCAGCTCAACAGACCATCACTCCAAATTTCAAGGTCAACACAAAACCAAAACATATCAAATCAAATAAGTGCAACAACATCACAATCAAATACGCCCACATTGAGATACTACCCAACCAGGAGAACATGCAGACAATTCCCATTATAATACAATGAATTCATCATGCACTAAACACCCAGTATCTTGACTCTTTCATATATGAATTGTGATGAGATCTAAGGGTGCTGTTATACTCTGAGGCAAATCTTGTTGTGATTCATAGACCCTTCTTTATGGTCAGAAAGGTCATCTCATGGTCACAGGCTGGTGGATGTAGTGGCAAGAAGTCACATGACAGACAATTATTTTCAGCCAATTGGAAGGCACTGCAAGCCAAGGATGTGGCTGCCTTCTCAATCTACTGAAGGAATATAAATACGACCCTGCAGGCTACAAAAAAGGGGTATTCTCATCTCACCAGCAACTACAACAGTCAGTGGCTTCTTTGCTTCCCTCATCCCACAAGAACACATTACCTTGGCAGTCAGGCTGACCTACCGCACACTATCAATACTTCCAGACTTCCTGTCCGCACCACTCAAATGAAGCCAAACTCGTGTATCAGTTACCATCCTCCCGCTCCTACCTTCCTCAATCCACAGAACTTTTATCAAACAGACTCTCATTTTTGTATTCACTCATTATGTAACTTCTTTGTTTTTTTTGTTTTTTTATTTTTCCCAGAAAATATCTTCAAACTTACTTCACTGTTTGGCCTTTCCGTGCTACCATATGCTTGTTATAAGAAAGGTTTAGGAAATATAACAAAAAGATAAAATTTATTAAGATCTGCAAAGGACAGGACATTGTGGAGAGCCATGACTGTCAATATCCTGAAGGGACACGGTACATAGTAGAAGGTTTTATTCTATTAATAGAATACTGTTGTACAATGCCATGAATGTTTGCACAATGATTTTTTTTTTTCTTTTTGAAAATAAATTGGCATGAAATTATGAAAATGCATCTTATTTTTTTCTATTTTCCCTTTTAATATGAAAACATTTAAAATTCACAATTTACATATGAATCATATAGAAAGATGCAATGAATATGTTTATACAGGATGTCCAAAAAAATTTGACATCATTTTCAAAGCAACTATCTTGAAGTCTAGCTCACTGAAATTGAACAGTTTAGGTGTTGAACATCATAAGTTTATTATGCAACCAATTTCATAGGTGTTCAATATGTGCACCACCTGTGACACGGCACACGTCAAGTAGGTAGTTAAGCTCTTGCCAAACACGCTGTAGCATGTCTCCAGTAACATTATCCAGTATGGAAGTGATTCTCTGCTTGAGTTCATCAATGCTAGCAGGAAGAGGAGGGACATAGACCAGTCCCTTCACATACCCCTATAAAAAGAAATCACACAGGGACATGTCCGGTGATCGCAGTGGCCATTTCATCAGAAAACTATCTTCATCTCCACCACACCCAATCCATCTTTCTGGCAGATTCTCACCGAGATAAGCATGTACTGTCCCCTTCCATTAAATATAAAATCTTGATTTGGTGCTATATATTCTGTGAAAATTTGAGGTTATTTCAACAAGAATTGCCAGAATTATTGGCCTGTGAAATGATGTCAAATTTTTTGGGGACACCCTGTATATTAGCCATAAATTTCAGTCAACATGAAACAAAATCACATATTCAACAACATCTATCAAAAAATACTGAAAAGCATTGTTTCAACCCTATATATATTATGAAAATTACTCTAACCAATAAATGTTGGTCTGAAAATCATTTTCTCTCCTTGTGAAAACAGCTACAAATGCTACAAAGTATATTTTTAAATAAAATATAAAATCACGTGGCAGTACAGAAATGTTATTTGAAATTCAAAATCAAACTTAAAACAATATTAAAAAGAAAAAAATGAAAAAGTAAAAATAATTTAGGAAATCCAAAACCATCTGCAGTGCCACCTTCACCAGTTCGGAAATTTGTTACCTCTTCAAGTTGAAACAAAACGTCTCTTGGCATTGACAATTACTCTTTTTCATCACTGGTGAGTTTTTTCTCTGTCTTTTCACATATGTATTTTCTTCCCTGAAAAGTTATTTCTTATAAAGTAAATTTTTCAAAAAAGAAACTCCTAAATTCGAAATCATTCAAAATAAATTTTGATTTCTACGGATAACCTGAAATATTGTCAATCTCACATGTTGTCAACTTGTGATGTGCCAAAAGTAATTCATGTTTCATCAGTGGAATTGCTGAAATGGTACCAAGTACGTGAACAAAAACATCAAGAAAACACCAATGAACATAAAAAGAGAAAAATTTTTGTAAAGTTGTAATACATTTAATACAACCAGATTATTATAATTATTATCATTATTATTAATTACTTTTATTCTGCCCAGTAAGGTATCTTAAATTTCATCTTTTACAAGATAAAGAAATGTATGTACTTTTCTATTATCTGAATAATAAATGGAATAATTTTAGTGTACAAGCAATACCAAGATGAACTAGTTTTTCCCGGATACTTAGATTTAGTAAGTATTAATGCAGATTCTTTATAATTTTTCATCAAATTCAAATATAAACTGAGAAAGAGTATGAAAATGAATTGGTCAAGACTTTTCAGCACCCCTTATATATATATATATATATATATAGATAGATAGATAGTATGACAAATTGTAAAAAAAGTTTTTGTGACTTGTTTCATCTGTTAGGATTTCATAGGACTGGGCTTTGTTGATGTTGTTCAATCTGCACATGTGCATGAAACGAGAGATGCTGGTAGTTTTAAAATTTTTGAGAGAATATTTTTGAAAGAATATTTTTTCAATTTAGCCAAATTCATCAATATTCTTTTTCTCTCCATTCACCTTTGTTCCTGAATCTCCCACGTTGTGAAAAACAGAAAATCTACCAAGAATGTTGATGTATTGTAAGAGCCTTTGTCAGCAAAAAAGGTGATGGAGAGAAAAAGAATACTGATGAATTTGGATAGATTGAAAAATATATTCTTTTAAAAATATACTTTCAAAAATCAACAAATCCCAGTACAATGAAATCTTAACAGATGAAACACATTACAAAAAATTTTTTTCCAACTTGTCATACTATTTTTCTAAATACTGTTTGGTGATATATAAAATTGCACAAAATTATATATATATATATATATATATATATATATATATATATATATATATTTATTAAAGACATTTTTTTATGTTTAACGTTGTTATTTTATAGATACAAGTATTTAAGCAAATATTTTTATGATAAACAGTATTAAATACATTTAGGCCTGTCAATGATTTAATATTTTCTATCAAAACAGAGACATTTGGCTTAAATACTTGTATCTATAAAATAACAACGTTAAACATAAAAAAATGTCTTTAATAAATAAATTGTCGGACCTTGTCCATTTCTTAACATATATATATATATATATATATATATATCCACACTGATGAGCTGTCATACAGTGAAACAGTTTGTTTCTGGATGACAATATATATGCACCCCAAAAAACTTAAATTCAGTTGTGCACTCTTGGAAGATAAGTGGGAATTTGTAAATAATGACCATTACTACTAATATTACAAGGCTCTTCCCCTTCCATGAATTGAGCTCTCTCAGTCATTGGCATGTTTATTCATGGAATAAGTAAATATAATTCATCTTTCTTTCAACCGTGCACCGATGGCATAGGGGAAGAATATCCGACTGTTGCTGAGTCAGGTGGGTTTTGATTCTGGCTTGAAGCAATCAGATGTCTAGCCACACTGATGAGCTGTGATACAGTGAAACAGTCTGTCTGTGGATGACAATATACATATATATATATATATATATGTATGTATGTATGTATATATATATAAAGAAATATAGTTTTAAGGTGTGCTATAATTATAGAATAAAGTGCTCAATATCAGAGATAGAGCATATGTAAATATAAAGGTGGACATTGAAGTCAACACTCAGAGGCAAAAGGCTGTTTCATATGAGACGCAATTGTCAGGCGACATCGTCAGAAACAGAATGAAACAGCCTGTCACCTCTGAATGTTGACCTCAATGTCCACTTTTATATATATATATATATATATATATATATATATATATATATATTTGAAAATTATAACATAAATATGTTATAAAATCACTACAAAAATAGCCATTTTGTTTCAACACTTCTGGTGTTTTATCAAGTGATGGTGTTGAATGTAGAATAAAGGGTTTTAAAAGGTTCAAATTGACCAAACATCCCTTGCTAGGGGAAACGCTGTTACATAAGCTGGAATGACCAATCAAAATACAAGTATATGAGAATTCAAAAAACTTAACAACGAAGCTTGGTTATAATAATTAATTAATGCTTTAATGTTAGGGTTAGACTAAAATAGAATTCATTGTAACTAATTAATATTAAATTTTACTATAAAATTCAAAATTACCAATTTTAAATTTTAAATTTAATCTGCATTTAGTTTAAAAAAATTATAAAATTATTTAAGGAAAAAACTGAGGAAAAAATATGTTTTTTTTTTATATATATATATATATATATATATATATATATATATATATATATATACATACATATATATATCATCCAGAAGTATATTCACCATTAAAGTTACAGATATTTTGAATGTTAAATGCATAAAGTTATAAAATTGTGATTAAATATAACAAAATAATTACTCTTAAATAGAATAAATTGTTTTTATTTACTTGTTTTTGTAGCTAGCCAGTGTTTCAACAAATGAATATTATGAAATTGTAGAGTAGCATATTGCAAGAAAGTGAGTCAATACACTTCCTTAGGCAAATGGACTCACTTAGCATAGATTTGTATAAACAAGCTGGCATTTTTAGTTGACATATCACAACCTGTTACAAACTCTTGTATTTATTTGTTTTCACTGGGTACAAACACAAAGATTTTTTAATTGATTCAAAACAATGTTGGCTGAAAATTCTCTTTTTATAATTCATGATCCTTTTTATTATATCCAAAAATTTCTTATCTTAATGTAGATTTTGTTTTTGGTAGCATTTTTCTGGAGAATGCCATTTTGATATATCCTCTTGTGATCCTCTTGTGTTTTTCTGTTTGATTTGTCACTGAAAATTACATGGTAACTATTTTTATTATTAGATTTTGAATATTATGACAAACAAAACATTAACCCTTTAATAGTTGTTTAACATTTGCCCCAAGTTAGAAAATCAAAAATACTTTTCTTGTGGTTGTGTTAGGTCCAGAAATAAAGACACAAGAGAGGAATTGAGTTAAACAAATATATTAACAGAAACAGTAACACAAATATATACAAATGAGAGTGCTACAGCAAGAATGTTTGGTTCAACTGTCAAAGCTCACTGCTGGAAACTTCCCTCTCTCAAAAGGCAGTGCCTGCTCCTATTTATAGCTGGGAGAGTCCATGCATATATGGGTAAATTACCATAACAACTTTACAAATGGATGCTACATGAACAAAATGGAAATCAAACAAATTGCTGCACTTTTTCTATGCAACAAAAAATGGCCTATTTCTTGATTGAACTGTGAGAAGTAA